ATAATAACTTTGCTGATTGCTCACTGTGGAATCTTCGATGATGGTTTGTTTATATGCTGTTTTCAAGCATTTTTTTTTCTTCACAGGGGAGGAGGGTGGTGCCGCGGCGAGTTGCGCCGCTTGGTCAGCATTCATACTTTACCTGACGATTGCGAATATTGAGCGTTCTGGCGATTCTGGATACTCAAAGTCCTCCAAAGGGATTGCGTGCCAAAGGAGTGGTTGGGTATCGTTCGGCGCCGGTCGCTAGCGCTTGCAGGGATTCGGAAAGACGGCGATCTTCCAAACGCCAGATGGCCGAGTTTCTCAAATCGCCGGGTTGCTCGGTCTCGTAAGTCGTCCGATCGCCAGTTCTCCGCAATCGCTAGCGACCGGCGCCAAGTGAGAATCCCACCCAATCACTCTATTGGCGCGCAATCGCGGGAAACATTGGGTCCCCTTAGTCGCCGGGTTGTTTAATCTCCCCTATTGCCAGATCGATACCTACATACATTTTCTCGTCGCGCAATCTCGCAAATCGCCTAGTCTCCCGAAAAACCTCGCCTTACCCTCAGGCCAGGCGGTCAAATTCTGAATCGTTTTCCGTCCAGGTCCTTCATATATTGAAGGCTACTGAACTGGTATCAGGCTCGTCTGATAAGATCAGTACAGTGACCTGTACATCAGGAGACCCTCGCCAATCATTTTGTGGGCCAGCATGCATTCAGCCAAGTCTCTAGGACTCTGAATGGAAGCAGATGCATGGTACATTCGAGAAAGGGAATGACTGAGCGGAGAGAAGATGATGAAACAATATCGTTTTGTTCTTTGTTGTGCATACAAGTCGTTCATCATTTCTAGAAGATCAAGATATCTCGGATCTCGCTACTGTATGGCAATGTAATGGCGGCCGCGATTTCACCAATTTCTGGGCATCAGCTGGAATTCCCGAGGACATGTTGGAGAAGTTCGCACCACATGTTGTGGGAAAGAAGGTGGTACGTTGGAATATAACCTCCATTTCTTGTTTTAGGCTGATGACCAGCCCATATTCTTTTAGTCGTAATTTGTTGATATCAGTTTGATAAAACAAGTACGTATGATAAGTTAAATAATATTTCTCTCTAAGGACTCCGACGGCGATCTATTCACCGGATTAGAAAGAGAGTTTGATGTGAAAGACCCCTTGTCGTGGAGAATCAACCAGGTATAATCATCTGCTTGATTAGTCATTCGAATAGTACCAGTAACTTTCATTCAAGGTTTCGACGATAGTGAGGAATTTGTCGTTCGAGCCTATCAACAGAGTTACAATGGCTCAGTGTTGGCCACTATTTAGGTATTTTCTTTTCCAGGCTTTTCTTTTCATACATTTGTTGAATGCGCTCGTACTTTGTGTTCTCGGTTCCTACCCAATCTCCTGATTATTGCATTCCACATTCTTATCTATTTCTGTCTGTCTATATGTCACAAAGTACGAACTCAGCCTTAGAAGGCGTTCATAATTTGCGTCAGCATTTCGAGCGTAATTCAGCGATCTGTGGCGTTTCAAGTGTTTCGAGCCATTGCGAAAGTGTAGGTATCGATAGAGCCTTTAGAGCGTACGCCAGCGTTTTCAGTGAAAGCATCAGATAGATAGATATAAAGCACGCTAGATTGGATATCTATACTTTCTCTGTCGCACGAAACGCTGGCATACGCCGGATCGATACCTACACTTTTCCAGTCGCTCAAAACGCGCAAACCGCTAATATCGCTCGAAAGGCTCGGAAAGGTGTCGAGCGCAAAACGCAGACGCAAAGTATGAACGCACTCTTCGAGTGAAAACCCATGTGATTGGTACAGAACTCTTATTTCAGGTTCCTGTTTCTTTGTGCCAGTAGCAAGTGGGCACCTCTGTATACCGCGGCTATGGATACCTTGAGCAACTTGGCTTGCGATGTAATTTCTTTTTGATTCTTTTCGTTTTGAAAGCTTTTTGGCGCAGTTTGGCTTGGCGAGGGCATTTTGCTGGTTTTATGGATCATTACTTGCAGTTGCCTCATGCGAAGATCTGTGAACCCTTTATGTAGTATCCAAGCATCGCTTAGTGTTGACATGAGGCTTTAGGTCTTACCCATTTGAGACGTGTAATTTAACAGGAACTAGTAAGAAAACCACCAAAAAAGCGAAACGGCCCCACCTTGAGCCGAAGAGCATCAGCTTTTTCAGCGATCTTTGTTGGACCTGCTGATATTCGATTCGCTCTTCTATATTCACTTTAGGTTGATCTGACTTGGCATAAAATGGTGCATTGTTCTGATCATGCTCTGCTCCGAATCGTGAAAGAGGGAATTTTTAGCAACGACAAGTTCAAGGTAAGTTGATTTCCCCTTAGTTGCTTAGTGGTGGCGACTCGTACTCATTTGCGAACTTTTTTCAGTTGATACGCTCTTTGGAGATACTCACGGCACTCAGCAGTTTCGAAGGGAATGAGTCGACAATATGCGATTTTTTGGATAGCAAAATGTTTGAACACATATTCAATGTCGTCTGTATAAAAGACATAATGATGTGTGTCTACACCTTAGAGTGTCTCTATCAGGTGAGAATCTTTCAGGGTAATTTTTGCCTAACGTGGTTGGAAGGGGGCAGCGCGACTGTGCCTTGTGCGACTTGAGTTCGACGACTCTAGTCGTCTGCGTTTTGCAAAGCCGATTCTTTGGCTTCGGTGAAGAAAGGAAGCAGATGCGCCGCCTGGTTTCCACTCTCTTCTCTTCCCCTCCACCGAATTGCGTCAGTGCCCATTTTGAATGCCTTAAACATCAGTTTTATTGTTCTTCACTGTTCTCTCATTATCTTCCGGGAACCGGTCCCCTTAGTCATCCCCGTTATTTTTTGGCGAACCATTATTATTTTTATCATGATAATTGCTGTTTATGCCGCCGTTGGTAAAAGGGTAGCATTGGCCCAGAAAAGGTGAGCTAAGGGTTACAATCCTGCTTGGGATCAAGACTGATGACCATAATCAGCATTCTTGTGATAATATTCTTATCACCAATAAATCACAGTGCCGTGTGCAGTAAAATTTGCGTTCTGCAGCATATTCCAATGTGAAGAGGTGTACAAAACTAGTTGTGGCTGCATCTTTTTTCAATCCGTTTCTCGAAAGTGATTCGCTATAACTTACATATCATGGAGGTTTTCAAGGATAACATGTTAGAAAACGCATTACTTCTTTTGGCGATCCCATTTCTTTGAATTCATGCCAAATTTTTACCAAAACTTCACTTAAGTAATAATCTTGTCAATACTTTGTTTTCAGGGGATCGCAACGGTGGAGGGGGTGGAGGGGGGGGGGTAATTTACCCGCTTAAATGCGAATGTCGCATCTACATGGCGCCAAGGATCTGACATTCGTGCCACGCGCCTGCGACAAAACATTCCAGCGCGTCGAGTTGCTGAAAACTTGTCACCAAGTCTCCTAAACACGTTACGCGCTCCAACTTTTAGCGCGCACTTAAAGACAGCCCCCGCGCTCAAGTAGTACATGGTCGTCCTTCCTTGTGCAGGTAGTTCAGCCCCCAAGCTAGATACTGTCCCACTCTCGCGACTCCACAGTGAGCGAGGAGCGAGCTACAGCCGCTCAAAGTTCTAGTTCTAACGCCCGCTCAGTTGGACCGCCTCACTTGCTAGCTGCCCTCTGACGGAGAGCCGCTCAGTTGTTCTTTGTTGGGACGGCGGGCATTAATCGGAACTGCATGTACTTTTTGCTGACCGCGCTCGTGCCCATAAATAATTCTGCTCTCCTTCATCACATTTTATTCATTGGGAGCACATACAGTCAACTGCAACCCATCTCGTAAGGTAACACTTCACGAGTTACGGACCTTCTCATTCGCACGACTTCCTTTGTCAATTGAAATTTCCTCTTCTCGATGTGTGCCGTGTCCTTTGTTTCTTCATATTCATTATTCTTTGAATTGGATGTCTGTCCCACTACTGGGAAATGCCATGAAGCGATTTGTGAGCCAGGGGTTGCCACGGACCGCAGGGCGGTGTAACTGTAAGGGAGCAATTTTGTTTGTGGTGTTCTTTGAGGCTCTTGTTGCTTTTTTTCCTTCATTGAAGAATTACTTATCAGCTACTGTTTCATAATTGATCAGCAATTATGCTTGACACTTTTATCGCGGGAGCTGTCTTTGAATCGTACCAGGCATTTTGCTGTCAAGAACACTAATGAGGGATCAAACCTAACCCGGGGTGCGACAGAAAAGAAGAACCCGTGAATAACCACCGAAATAAGTAGCCGTCAATGGTGATGCCGTTCATACCGTATTGCGGACGAAGGGGCATAACAGGCGGGACGGGTGGGCGCGGCGCCAACTTATCAGTTGCTGAAACGTCAAGTGACAAACAGTTGGTGAAAATTGCTTGATACGAGGATAGGATACAGTCTTGTCGCTTGCTCGCTTCTACAGCTAGTGGAAAACGGACTTGGTGCCACTCCAAAACCAACCCACCTGGCAGGATCCTTCATCCGCAGCGAGCGATACCGTAGCCTGTCCTACCTGCTTTCCTCACATTTATATGTGTAAGGAGACTTTTAGAGACGTACATTTAAACTTGTGCCTCGGCCAGGAGGCCAGCCATCGCAATTCTGATCAGTTCCTGAAAAATACGACCACCTGATTCTACCCTCAAATACGGACCCCCTCCCCATGCTACCTACCACTTTCCTAGATTTTCCCAATTCCCAACTCCTACCAGTTTTTCCATTCCTACCATTTTTCCCCAAAAATTTCCATTCAGCCAAGAATCTTCGGTCGAGCGGGGGGAGAACGAGGAAATTTCGAGGGTCGTCAATGATTTCAAAAACTATCGAAATAGTATGTTCTAGTATGCGAATCTTTGGCAGTCCCGACTCTTCTCTCAAGCAACAGCCAAATACGCACCCTCTCCCCTTCTGTACACATCCGTGAAACAAGAGATATCAACCACAAGAAAAAAATTTCTCAGACTAAATAGGACCCCCTTCCTGGCGGTCAAATACGACCCCCGTTGTGATTATCACAACGATGGCCTGCCCTGACGTCAAGGTTGTGATCCCACGTTTGAAATGTTAAAAGATATCTAATGCTGAAATTTTTTTTGCTTCAGATCTCGGAGAACGTGGACAGATATGTGCGTGCTCAGTTGCTGGCCCGAGAATGCCACGTGCTATTACGCAACTGGTATCAATGGCCACCTTGGAGGCTGTCAGTTTTGGACCGGCAGGACTTGCTGGCATGAAAGTGGTGGAATATCAGCCGACACACCTTGTTCGTTTATTTTTGCTATCTTGCAATTCCGCTTTAATTTGTAAAAATGAATTGGCTGTAGGTCCAAGCCCAACCTATGATGCAACAACAATCCCATGGACAGTTTGTGGCTCAGCATCAAACTCCGCAAACGCACCAACAGGTTCACATTAGACTAAAGTAGTTTAGGGTTTCTGTGAAAAGCTTAGAGTTCGCTTTTATGGGAGTGCTTTCAGCCACGAGTGTTGTATTCTGGTGGAACACAGATTGCTGGCCCACCACAGCAAATGCGCCACATAGTGCAGCAGCAGCAACAACAACAACAACAACAACAACAACACCAGCAACAACACAATCAGCATGCGCCAGTTCACGTGCAGCAAACTCCTCATCACCATGTCACCGTTGTTCCCAGCACTCCACGCACTCACTTTGCTCCTGCTCCTCAAGTTACAGGAACTCCGTCAGTGTCTTCAAGTGGTGGAAGTGAAAACAAGGTAAGCGTTTGAGAGCCCGATCATTTTTGGCCATCCGCTTGTATAGTCTGCGTGATCGTTTCGCAAAGTATGAACGCCTGTGAAAAATTCTTATGCTAGATTTATAGTGGTAGTTTAGGTGGTCCGGGGATAAACATTTGGCATCATTTTATTATTCACATTTATATTCTCTTGTTCGCTGCGGATGAAGAGGCGTCTAGGGCGCGATACGTTTGCCGCGGCGCTGAACCCCTTCACGACCAGTTGTTGAGGCTGGTAAGCGGCAAAAGTTGGTAAAAAATGACCGGAGGGAATGATATACCACGGGGGAAACGTGTTAGGCACCACACCAAGCCCGTCCCGCCTGACACTCACCTTCATCCGCAGCGAACAAGAGTAGCGCCATTTTTAATTCTGTCCCACCTTCTGATTCCTTCTCATTCGACTCCATTCTTCTTATCCATCTTCATTCCGGCTGTCTATTAACCTGGCCTTATCGACGCTGATCTACTCAAAACCTAAACTTTATTTGGCTCACATAAAGATTTATAAGGACCATTCTTGCGGCTGTCAAGTCGAGGGTAACCCATTAATTTTTTAAAGGTGTGGTGAGAGTAATGATTTTTGGGCTGTATAAGCTCCTGAGTACAAAAAAGATGATGGCATCACTTGTGGCTTGGCACGCACGTTCCCTTTCTTCAGGTAGATCAACTCACAGAACAGTGGATTCGACAGAATTGCGTTTTGGACCGCGGTGCGGTGACTCCTCGAGGAGAGCTCTATGCGGCATATGTCGACGATTTGCGAAATCAGTACCACTCCCTTAGTGGTAGCCTAGCGATGTTCAGCAACGTTATGAAGTAAGTTTCTTAGCATTGTTCATCCTTTACGGTTTCACCACTCAAAATTTAGGTTGATTTTCAATTGATTCGCCCTTGGGGGAAGATTTGGTAGATTCCTATTGGTAGATTCCCATTCACTACCGGAACTATCTGTTCTTGTGAACTCGAAGACCATTAATTTTAAAAACGTCTTTCGTCCACGTCTCAGACCTGTTTTAGCGCCGGCATCTTTTGCACGGGTAGCAGGCACTTTGGCACTAAGCGGATGTGAGACCTGTGTTCAGAAAAGAGACTATGCACAGTGACAGGTTTCCAGTAAATTCGTTACTTTAGTGAGATTGATGTCGTTTTGCTGCTAAAATAATTGATATCCGTGTTAAGGCTGCGTTCATACTTTGCGTGCGCTTTTTGAGCGTACGCCAGCGTCTTGAGCGTTTCACGGGTAGTTTTAAACTTCTCGCGGGCAGTCACTCAAAACGCTAGATCGATATTCATACATTTTTAGTCGACCGAACCGTTACTGTAGGATGGATCGATACCTATACTTTACTGGCCGCTTGAAACGGTGATGCAAAATATGAACGACGCCTAGGGAGGGGGGGGGCACACAAATTACCAGCGGGGACTCGGAAACTGATTTCTGTCCCTATCTGCTTACGGGTGCATCATGATAACAAGCTTGTTCTTCGGAAAGGGGCCGTGGAGAGTAACCGGTTTTTCTTTCATTGAACTGATGTGAATATTTTCATTGTGATACTTGTTAAGATCGATATTCCCCGAGCTTGTTTTCAAAATGGCTGAGAACGGGCTGATGATGGTAGCACATGGCATAAGATTGGTCAAGCCACACAGTGAGTTGAAATTGGTTTCTTCATATACACCCTTATAACGCTGCTTCTTTAGGATTAGCCCCTGCAGCTTCTGCTCAGGCAGTTAATAGTGCAGCATCAATTCCTAACAATCCTCCACCTCCTGTGCCTCCTGTGATGGTTCCCGCTACTGTCGCACCATCACCGCAACCGCCACCACACTCGGCTACAATTGCTGCTCATCCCTTAATGAAGCAAATCTTGACGAAAAATGCACAAACCTCCTTGCCTGTTGTCAATGGTATTAATGGTGTTGCCAAGTGAGTGTTTATAAGAGAGTCGGGTAACACGGATTACCTATGAATTTAGTAACTGGTTCATTGTTTCAGAAGCAATTGCTCGTCAAGGAGCGCATCCCCTGCGATTGACATCAATACCGAGGTTGATTGAAAATTTTGATTTTGTTTGTCCAAATGGTAGTGATGAAACTATGAATTCAGCGAAAGGAAGAAGTGCAGCCGAAACCCGCCGATGTCAAACCTCCACAGCCCCCACAAGACTCGGATACCAAAACAAATGGACAAAATGGGAAGACTGAAAATGGAGTTGCAACATCCGACGATGAGCATAGTGATGATGAAAAGGCTTCTCATCATAAGGCATCCGAAACGAAGAATTCGCAGTCTGTTCTGAAGAGCTTGGTAAGGGCATTACAGTCGGGGAGGTTGGGACAGTTTGGCTTGGAGGGGGCACCGAATAGCACTCAGCTAAGTATGTACAGGCCACCCTGCAAAGACCTGCTAACTCGTGTGACCGAAGTGACTCACTCAACAGTTTCGCAGCTTCATAGGAGTTTGTAGGTCTGACCAGAGTGAGACCCGTTTCTTGACATGAATTAACGCAATAAACCAGCGAAACTGCAAATGCCCCCTCGAAGCCAAGTAGCGCTGGAAGATCTGTTTATTTGTGAATCCAAATATTTCAATTTTACTGAGAGCTTCATTCAGGAGAAGAAAGTGTTGCAGATCGACCCCTTGGCGGAGTACATGTGCGAATGGGATGGATGCGCCGCATTGTTTGCAAATGCCCCTTCACTCCTCTCACATGTTGCCAAAACGCACATCATAGATGATTTCGATCAGGTGTGCCAATGGCCAGGATGTGATGGCACGCTACGGAGCAAGTATGTTTATTTTTACTTATTTACTCCTATTTCTTATGTATTCACGTTGCGTTGTAACGGATTCGCTACTTATGAAGGGGCCCGTCAGGCGGGTTGGTTGGCGCGGCGCCAAACCCGTTATTCACCAGTCGTTAAGACGGGTAAGCGGCAAGAATTGGCGAAAAACAACACATATGGGCGACGTGTGATGCAAGTATTGTCGCCAGGGTACGCCATCGTTGTGATCATCACAAAGGGGGGGGGGTCGTATTTGGTCAGTCCAGGGACGCACTACTATTTCCGACACTTGAAAATGATAGTTTGATATTCTGACGAGCCTACTCCCCCCCCCTCCCCCGGTCGAACAGCAAAATTTTTGGGAAAAGGTAGTACTCTGTTCGATGAGGAAGGACAGAGGGCTGGAAGAGGGGGGGTCGTACCAACTCCCAAAAGGGGGGTCGTATTTTAGTATGGAATTAGGGGGGGGTCGTAATTTTCAGAAAATGATCACAAACGCCGATGCGTGCCCTGCATTTGCTCGCTTGCTCGCAGTTTCACACAAGTAGTGGAAAGCCGCGGCTTGGTGCTACGTCAAACTTATCCCGGCCGGGCACGCCCCTTTATATGTAGCGAGCGAAACTATACCCTAAGCGCCACATTCAGTGCTAAAAGGTGCGAAGAAGCCGTTCAAGGAATTGGGTTTTCGCGTAGGGGATTGAGCTTCGCTGGGGGTGAACCACTTCCTATGTGTTACTGGCTCGATAAGTTAGTTTATGGTCTCTACATTCAGATGGTCATTAGTAACGCATGTACAAGACCATCATGCGAACGAAACAGCTCTGAAGATGGCTTTGCAAAGACGAAAGTGAGTCTCACTTTTCTTGCAAGTTACCCTTAGCTGCTCATCTTTCTCACGCAGCGTCACACCAGTGCTCAAGGAGCATGTTTGTTTTGCTTTTCAGAGATGGACTGGCTCCCGCACAGCCACATCGCTATAGGCAAGAACTCCCACGTGAAACACCTCATCATCCTGGTTATAGTAAACATGCAGCTATAGAAGCGATAAGGCGGCATGCTTTCAACTTTCTTCCTAGAGATATAACGGTAGGAATTTTGGCGACTTCAACGGTAGGAATTTGCAAAATTGTCAAATTTACACTTTTCACGTAAATACTTGCGTTTTTTAGGATGAACCTGAAGGCCCTGTCACGAAGAGCATACGTTTAACAAGCTGTTTGATTTTAAGGAATTTGGCGCGATATTCTGCTACAGGAAGACAGTACGTTACCTCTCATTGATGCTATAGTGGTATGAGGCAGCAGTCGTCTTTACTCTTATGATACCTCCTCTCATGGTTGCAGTTCTAGACAGTTCGCGAGGCCACGCTATTCATATTGTACAAAAAAGGCACATGCGAAATGAGAAAAGGAAAACTGGAAATCAAACATGTTTGAGCCGGCGTCTAACATAAACGTAGAGCTGCGTTCGTACTTTCTGTCAGCGTTTTAAGCGTTCAGCAGGGTTGTCAGGGTTGTAGCGGCAGGAAACAGGGCACATCATTGGCTGGGGATTTTAGTCGAGTCCGTACGACCCCTCCCTTTTCTTCCTGTGGGGGGGGGGCTGGTACGACCACCTCCCCCCTCTGGCCCTCTGTTCCCCCTCATCGAATCGAGCATCGAGCCGTCGAGCGGGGGTTGGGGGCGGGGGGGGGGGGAAGGGAGGAGGGGGTACGTATGAAACAGGAAATTCACGAAAAAGTCAACCACTGCTCCTAGAAAGGCCAGGCAAGGTCATAATGTAAATACGACCCCCCCCCTCCCAACAGTGAGCAACTATGACCCCTCCCCCGCCCCCTGTTGGGGATTCCCCACATCGATGTGCCCTGACAGGAAAGTATGGGTTGATCTAGTGCACGCCAGCGTTCGGATAAGGAGATCATAGATTGTCGTACGCGGCGCAGCGTCTGGCGATGAGCGCGGAAAATCTTCAATGTGGGCGTCCCGTGGCGGTGGGCGAGAGAATTTCAAACTGCAGTGCAGGAAATCGTTGCATATTTTTTCCCTATCTTCGCACATATCCTTCTCGTATTTCTTCAAGCCTGTACAAAATTGGATGGCTTTATTATTAGGCGTACGTTCGTCTTCGCCTTCGTCAGGGCCTGAAATGGACAAAAAACTGATTTGACTTGCCCGCGCGTCAGCAATCCTCAAGACAATTTCCCTAGAAAGAAAGCCACACATGGACTATAACCCGCATCTTTTCACGTATTTTTGGCCATGTCCTACACGTAGATTGTGCCAGAAATATAAAAGCGTGGAGAACCTCAGTCAGAATCACAAACGGCCGGCGCGCTGCAGTAGCATCTTTTACCTCCCTTTGATATTCAAATTCGAATGGCCAGGCGGGAGAACTCGTCTCTCGGCTCGGATAAAGTCAAGCCAGCTAATGCCAGCAGCGTTTTGAGCGACTAGGAAAGTACAGATATCAGTTTAGCGTTTGAGGGTACGCCACCGCTTTAAGCGATTCAACCAGGTAGTTTTGAATCGCGGGCAGTCGGTGAAAGCGTTGGCTTGCGCTCGGCACGTTCAGAACGGTGACGCAAACTATGGAGGTAGTCTAAGAGAATACCTCGGTATTGACGTTTCGTGACTCATTAAAGGCAGCTTGGCACGATAAATCCCCCAAGACGACTAGGATCAATACTCCTGGCAGGATAGAATTCCGCGACCCTGGGCAGGCGCTGCATAGCGGTTTCCCCAAGGAAGGTGCCCTTATAAGGGCCCTATCAAGCCACAACTTCGTCCCAAACGCCCGCCACGCCCGCCCGCCCACAAATGGACGACCGTTCCTGACGCTCGTATTCATTCATTTGCTAAGCAAATTATGAAGCGAAGGGATTGGTATGAAGCGGCCGTGATGCTGCATGCATATATGGGTACACATATGCAGCCGTATCTTCGGTAGCGGTGATTGGCAAGATGCGTAGGCGGTCATTTGGCGCGAT